AGAACATATCGCAGATATGAAACATAGGCGCGAAAATAAATCTGCAGTGTGTGAACATGCATTAGGGGGACCAAACCACTACATTAGATTTGATAGACCACAGATCCTTGCAGCTGAGCGGCGTTTCGTTCCTCGAATGATGCGCGAGGCTATTGAGATTAAAAAATATCCAAATTTCAATAGGGAAGATGGTTGGTATATACCACCAGCTTGGGAACCTATTATACAGGAGATAAAATCCCAACCCCGAGCACATACTGCAAGACCATCAGATACTATTAGTTCTTTTTGTTTGCATAATTTAACATAAGAAGGAGATAGAAAGCCTCTCTTGAGTTTGTTTCGCCGGTTCTTCTCAGGAAGGTCTCCCAATTTTGGAACCGGTGGTAGTTTACGGTAGTTAGGGTCAAATAAATAAACGCAAAATTACAAACAAGAATTTTAAATAAAATACTTTATTAAGTAAATTAAATAATAAATTCATACATAGACAATAAAACTTAAAAATCGAACGATGAAATAACCAAACGCTCAATAAAAGTCTTTCGAAGGTAGCTCGACAAATTAAACAAGTTTTATTCTGACGACGAAGCCTGGAAAGGCTACGAAACGTCAATAAATAAATAAAGTTTCGTGCATTATCCCGTTTAAACTAGTTTTATTTAATAAATAAATAAATAAATCTGGAAGTAAGCAAGGGTTTATAATGTGCCACTGCAAAAAATACTGTATTGATAAAAAGTGTAAATGTTGCTTCAAGAATATAAAATGCAACTCAAAATGCCACAATAATAATATAAATATATATAAATAAATAGTTCCTGTAAAAATAAATAGCAATCAAATATTTATTTTTCACAATTATAGTAATTTCTAATACAAGTAATTGATTCAAGTACATTGTTGTTTTTTATTGGTGATCAATAAATATTTATGTTTGTGTTAAATATTTTTATTACTTGAAAGAATTTTAAATTGTCATAAAAAAATTAAAATCCCTAATTATTGTAAGTGAATTATAAGTAACTAGCGGCCCGCCCTCGCTTCGCATCGGTGTAGAGCTGAAGTGTAGACTACAGTTTTTGTTCTCAGGCTTGTATTATACACAATGACATTAATCTATGATTCTTCTTATACCTGCATGCAAAGTCTCAGACCGATCGGTTTAAAATTGACAAAGTTTCATACAAACTTTAATTTCCTATTTTATCCCCTTGGGGGTAGAATTGCTCAAAATCCTTTCTTAGCGGATGCCTACGTTATAACATCTACCTGCATGCCAAATTTCAGCCCGATCCGTCCAGTTGTTTGGGCTGTGCGTTGATAGATCGCTATTTCAGTCAGTCACATCTGAGTTTTATATATATAGATAGATTTACAAAAAAATAATATTTTGTGTTCAGTAATTTATCACTTAATACGTTGATTTTTTTAAATATAAAGTAATCTCAATAAATAGCAAATATCGTTATATTTCAATTTATATAATTATATGACATATTTAATAATGACAACACGTTATGTAGTGATTTTATAAAATAAAAAAATATTTCCTAAAGACATCTATCTACCAAAACGTTTCCAGCCTAGGCCAAGTAGGATCCATATGCTCAGAACGCGTCAAGGCTTTTCTTCATTGCCACAACGCGTTGAGATCGAATAGCATGTTAGCCACGACACGAATTTCGCTATTTGGTCTTTCTGTGATTGCCACAACGCATCGTGCGCGTTTTCATTAGAGCCATAACATAATTTCGCCATGTGGATGTTTTACTGTGACCACAACTCGTTATGAGCTATTTTTCCGCTCACTGAGTGTTTTCGATCTTTGAGCGTAACATTTACACTAAAACGGTGAAACACAGGACCTACAACAAACTATAATTACATTAAAAAGTTTTAAATTGGCGTTTATTCTCGTTAAGTTAATGTAGCATCGCATCCAATTAGTACAAATCTATAGTGTTGTCCAATAAATAAGGGTTACCAAGCCTATAGACTAAGTAGAGAAATGGGATTTAGGTTAAAATATACGAGTTTTCGCCTACGTACCGCAAACTGCTAAAGGCTTATACACAGTCTTTCCCAGTAGTTATCCTTGTTTAGAAATAAACGAGTAAGAGCTTATAGTTGCTTAGTTTTTTTGATAATTATATGAAAATAATAGAATTAGTAAGAGAGCTGCTATTTAAAGCTTACGCTTGAGTTTAGCCTAATTACAAAGAGCCGCCAGATATTTTTAATTTTATGGCCTAAACTGTAATTTTATCGTCTGAAAGTCATTTCTTTTAGCAAAGATCACTACGATGAAGGTTCTCATTGAATAATATTTAAAATTTAAAAATACAGTTGTTAAGGTTAAGAATGTACCTACTAAGTCAAAGAATTTTGGCGATTCTGCTTTCACACATCCAGCGTCCAGCATTAATTTAGTCAACAAAACCAATAAACGGAAACTTTTCTTCAAGATATCAGAGTTTTTAGATATATTTTAGTCCGACGAAAGAAACCACAGTAACACGAAAATGACGTTTAGTTGTTTACAAATTTTGTGACGTCACGATCATGGTGGACAGCGTTTTTAGTGTTTAAAAAGCATAGACTAAAAAACTATTTTTCAAATTAAATTACTACAGCCATCCTCTAATTTTATGAAGTGAAATCGATGTATTAAGTTTTCTCATACCAAAAATTATTAGAAATAAACATTTGTATAATGCAATTTGACATGATAAAATGGGAAATACAAGAAATCACTGAGTTTTTATTGAAGAAATTCTATGCCCAAACAGTTTGTTTCATTGTTTGGTTAACGCGCTAATCTGAACTACTGATCCGATTAGATTTAAATTTTGTTTTTTTGTTGTATAGTACATTTATCGAGGAAAGCCATAAGTAACATCACGCTATGACCAGAAGGAGCGGAACATTGATGAAGAATTTGTGAAAACGGAAAAAAAAATCTTTTTGAGAGCTTCCGTTGCGTGCGCTGCGTAAATATAGGTTATAATTAAACAAAAATCTTGTATGATGGAATTGTTCCGCTTTTTGTTTGAGATTGTTCATCTCTTAAGTTTGACTCACTATATAACCTTTTCCTCAAATTCACCACATTGATCGACTATTAGGCGACAAGAATTTTGCCGCGTCAGCTAGTTAGAAATAAAATCCGAATATTGATAAGTACAGCGAGTTATTATCTTTTTATTTAAACTGTATAACACAGCAATCAAAGCAATCAAAGTATGATTGGATTATATTGAATTTGAATTAATGTTTCTAATTAATTGTATTGGTGGCGTCATGATTTTATGTAGATGCTGCTACTTCTGTTAAATGATTAATTTCTTGCGTCCATTCCTCTTATCAGATAAAAGATGGCCTGAATGGATGGTAGAAATAACATTGGACAATTCAAAACAGCTTTCAATAAGTCAATTTCATTCATCATTCATTAATTTTGCAGAACGAAACTATAAAATATTTAATTATTATTGCACCAATTAACTCTACAAATAAAGGCTTGTCTAAAAACAATATTTTCCCCCAATTAGTTTGCGTTAATATTAACGTTTTATTTGCAATTATGTAGTCAGTGTTTTTCCCACCAGAACACCAGATGGTACTATTTTAATGCCACAAAATTTCACTTTTACGATTATCGGCTAAGTTTTGGTAGGTTTTAGCGCCGGTTGCGGGCGTTTCAGCAAAATGGCGGCTATTGTTTAACTTTATGATTTTATTTTCTACCTAACATAAGGCTCAGACAGACGAAGCCTTTGATCCACACTTTGACCAGAGTAGAGCAACAGTCATATACTTTCCTTTGTTCTACACTATGGTAGTGAGAATTTGTGTTTCATCGCTTTTTAGTCGACGTTTCTGTTATACGTAAATTTTCCTTGAAGCTGGAAAGTTTGTCGAATTTGCTTTTTTACCCGTGCTACTTGGCACTTAAACTAACTACTCCGCTCGTTCTACTGACCGGCGACAGACGCGGGTCAAGAAATACATAAGTGTTTATACGTGGCTGGGTGTTGCATAAACGAACTTAAAAACAAACGCATTATTTATAGAGGTTTTATCATAGGCACTTCTAACAAACATTGTTTGAATCTTACTTTTATTCTATGGAACAATGAAAACTTGCCTTATTCAGACATTATTAATAAAAGCTTGTAAAAAGTAGCTTTATTTTAGTATTGAAATAAGATTGCAATAACAACTTTACAGTAGTTAAGATGGGAGGCGGGTAGTGTTTTTTCCATACAAACGTTCTTGACTAATTTCTCCTTGATTATTATCACTACAGAATTGATTTTTCATACATAAAATATAATTTTGCTCAATCTATGCTCCTATGTCTTCCTTTTTAGATAACTTGTGTTTCAAAGAAACTAGAAGCTCTCAAAAATGCCAAAAATAAACATATTTTTATCACTACTAAAGACTTTTAATGTGGAGATTTAATTAACATTTTCAAAAACAGCAAAACACAGAGGCATAGTATAACTACTTTTTATTTTATAGCATTTTTTTTACATATATTTAATTTTCGAGGAGGAAGTCGTCGAGAGCCCAACCTCGAATTTTGCAATTTTTATACGCAATTTTCAGCCTTAACTACTGTTATACCTATCGCACGATATTTGATAATGCGTGACAGCAATAGTTTTTTCAAATACCTATTTCACAAATGTCTCTCTGCTCTCGTCCGCTGTTAGGGCGGCAGACGCGCAAACAATATCTTTAGGCGAGAGGTATGCGCGCCAGTTTTTAAGGTGTCTCCATCGCTGAGATCTCAAATTCGATGCCCAGCCGGTCGAGTTTAAAATAATTATTTTTCTATATTATTTTGTCCTAGTAGTAGTATACGTAGTGTAGAAATTAACTATTAAGTAATCAGTGACGAAATGTTCTGTCTCAGTCAATTAAGTGATGTGAATCAAGTGCTTCACAATAAAAAAGGAAATGATTTGACTAATAATTAATTTTCTTACCAGCAGAGCTCAGCATTTCTGTTGAAGTAGGTCAACTGTTGAGCCCTTTCGCTGATTTCGCGAACCGCGTCCTGCAATTCGTCCACGCAGCGGGACCAGTCCGGTGACACTCGGCCCCAGCACGTTAACTCTTTCAGGAATTCTGTTAAAACAAAAACATTATATTAATGGATCACAGCACTGTAAATACTTATAAGATAAAGCACCTTGTGCTCATGTTACGACCAGAAGTGTGACCATTTAAGGAGCTGGCGAACAAAACGGTATAATTGCGCATATGACTTCGACCATATAATACTTTATTTTTACAGCCCGGAGGATTTGGACCAGCTGAATTTGAATTTCAACTCATGTCAATCAAAACTGCCTAAAACAGTGTGAAAATTACTAAATTCAAAATCACGCCAAAAGCTCACTGTAGGTATATCATTAAGTTTTTTACTACTTCTGTAAAATTTAATTTGATGTAATTATACCGTTTTGTTTGCCATTGTCCATAGATAAGGCTCTCTAAAAGGATCTGTTCTGATCAAGCTTCCCTATGTTCTCGATATAGATTTTATAATACCCAGATGATCAACATGGACATGTTTTTTTTCCTTTTTCAAAAACCTTACTGTTTTATTTGTTAGGGATTCTTACGGCATTGATACCAACGTAACTTCACTGTTGACGTGCACTTTACACTAAATAATTTCTTCATTCTTCTTTGATCGTTAACGGAATGAACCTCGTTCTGTCTTTGTCATTTCTTTATTGGCTGGTAATGTGCATTCAGACACGCGATTTTTTTCATATGGTTCAAGTTACTCTAAAATTTCCTGGACCCAGTTCTTCCATATGTAGTATTTATGAAAAAGTTTTCAACAAATAGAGGGAAATATGCTGTGTGTGGATTTTCCACAAATCATCAGCATTGTCCCCTATCCCGAGATTTCTGTACTGACTCAAGTATTCGTCACAATGTCCTTGATAGGATTTGAACCAGATGAAATAATCCAAATGAGTAGCATTTACCCAAAATATACTCGTATATCCCGATTTTTTCATCTGATGGATGTCACTGCACATCAAGTGTAAATGTTACTGTTAGAATAGATAACAAAATATCTAACTAGCGCCATCTGGCGAACTGTGTTTTAGGGTATATACGAATAAATATTTTACTAGTCTGTGAATGCAAGTCATTGTAGTTTTATAAGGTTATGGGTCCAGACCTGAAAAAAGAATTAAATAGTAGTGATCTCAGTGTACTTTTTATTAAAAATGTCGACAAATTATTTAGCAAACGTCCCGAAATTGAAAGGTCGTGAAAATTACGACGACTGGTGTGAACCCTTATCGCCAACAGCTACTGCGACATATCAGATGACAAGAAGGCGAGAGCAAAACTAATATTAACTATCGACGGTTCCCTTTATGTGCATATCAGGAAGACGACCACAACGTACTAATTATGGAAGACGTTGAAAAACATGTTCAACGATTCAGGATATTCACGAAAAATTAGTTTGCTCATAAATCTAATCTAATTAGTATACGCCTAGAAAACTGTGAGTCGATGACCAGCTATGTCAGCCAGCTCACCGAAACAGCACAGAAGCTAATTGGTACCGGTTTTGAGATCAACGATCAATGGATTGAGTCGCTTATGTTAGTTAGCAGGCTTACCGAAAAAATACGGGCCAATGATAATGTCAATAGAACATTCCGGTATGAATATCAATGCTGATGCTATTAAAACAAAACTATTGGACATGATTTTAGATTTTGAGGTTAAGTCGGAAGGTGCATTTGCAGCCAAGAATTTTCACAGGCGTAATGTTGGCAGCAGCCATGGCGGATGCAATAACAAAACGCAATCGCAACTCGCAACAACAACATGGCGCCGGCGCAATGGCCGAAATGAAAGGAAATTTATTTTCATCTGTTAATATTAGTGGAAATAATATAGCGCGGAAGAAAATTATTCGTTGTTACAAGTGTAAACAGATTGGGCATGGGACAGCTGAGCGGCGGTTCGTTCCTCGAATGATGCGTGAGGCTATTGAGATTAAAAAATATCCAAATTTCAATAGGGAAGATGGTTGGTACATACCACCAGCTTAGGAACCTATTATACAGGAGATAAAATCCCAACCCCGAGCACACACTGCAAGACCATCAGATACTATTAGTTCTTTTTGTTTGCATAATTTAACATAAGAAGGAGATAGAAAGCCTCTCTTGAGTTTGTTTCGCCGGTTCTTCTCAGGAAGGTCTCTCAATTTTGGAACCGGTGGTAGTTTACGGTAGTTAGGGTCAAATAATTAAACTCAAAATTACAAACAACAATTTTAAATAAAATACTTTATTAAGTAAATTAAATAATAAATTCATACATAGACAATAAAATTTTTAAAATCTTCCAATGAAATAAGCGAACGCTCAATATAAGTCTTTCGAAGGTAGCTCGACAATTTTAAATAAAAAATCATTATTCTGACGATGCAGACCTGAAAAGGCTGCGAAACGTCAATAAATAAATAAAGTTTCGTGCATTAACCCGTAAAAACTAGTTTTATTTAATGAGTGATGTGCGTGAAAACCTAAGAAACAAATATAGATTGGGCATTTTAAGAATCAATGTCAATGTGACAAATGCATTTAGTGCAGTTTTTGAACGAAGGAATTCAGTCCATCGGACTGGCACTTAGACTCCGGAGCAAGTACACATATAATCTCGAATGTTAACATGTTGTCTAATGTTTCTTATCAACCGCAGACTAAGGAGATCATTGTTGCAAATCAAACAGTTGTGGAAGTTTTATGCTCAGGAGATTTACAGATCACGACACGTGTCCGTGATAAAGAGTTTTTGATAAATATAAACAATGTTCTATCCTTTTTTTTTTGTTGACGATGGAAAATGCATTTACGCACCGTACCGCGCGCTGGCTGGGCGCGCGGCGTGTGTGGGACTCCCCGGCGCGGAACAACGCCGCGCCGGTCCTACCCACTAAAAACCACCGGTACCCTCCTACGCCATACCGGGGCGTCTCAGGATCAGGACGCACCTTAGTGTGCGCCACTTCACTGGGACGCCCCCGGAAACAATGTTCTACCTAGTCAGGTCATAAATTCTGTCACATGTTTAATATAAAATAATTGAAACAATTTTATTCATTATGTAACCATTTATATATCAAAATGAACTTAACAAAACATAGATTTTTATGACGATAAAGTTTATTCAAAATGACCTCCGTGATTTTGAATACAGACCTTCAATCTGCGCGGCCAGTCGTCTATCGCAGCACGAACGAGGTCCATGTCAATATCGGCGGCTGCCTTAATCAAGGATGTCTTGAGTGACTCCAAATTGGGATGATGCTTTGAGCACGCCTTTTCCTCCAAGTGTTGCCATATCTTGTAATCTAACGGACTCAAATCTGGACTGCAGAAGGGTCAGTCGGCGTTAATATAAAGTGGGTTACAAACTTTTGCCCGTAGCTTTTATGCTCCGTATTCACACGGTATTACTCGATAACTTCCTAAAATGAGTAAAATTTGCCGTGTGGTTTGCAGTCCACGGCCGGCTCACAGCTCGAAGGCTCGTATCAAGCCGGCTCGATGGAATTAAATAAATGTAATTTCCTTCGTCTTTCCCGAGGCGAGTCGTCGAGTTCAACTCGATTGTATGTAAGTGCCGCGAAATTGCAAGACTTGCTAAATACAGCATCTATCTCCTTTGTTGAACAGACATCATTTGGCTCGACCTTCGAGCGCAACTTGATAAATAAATAAAACTAGTTTTAACGGGTTAATGCACGAAACTTTATTTATTTATTGACGTTTCGCAGCCTTTTCAGGTCTGCATCGTCAGAATACTAATGCATTAACCCATTAAAACTAGTTTTATTTAATGAGTGATGTGCGTGAAAACCTCTTAGGTTTTTGTGTTGTTTAACAAATTTGATAAATAAATGCTGAAAATGTGGACGAAAGCTCGTGTTGTGGTTTTTATTCCACGTGTTTATTCGATCGTATAAAACCGTATGTGAGAACGGACCATTAGGTACACTATCTTGCCATACCAATATTTCACTAAAAATGATCTCTCCTATTATGAGTGTCATAAGCTGTGTGAAGCTACATTGATAAGTTTTATAGAAAAAAACTACCAAAACAAAACAAAAGATAATTTAACAGGTGTTATATAATTTTTTCAATCAAATATATTGCAAGGGACGGTAACAATTACCGTAAATAACAATAAAGTCGTGAAATATAATTTCCTTTTACAAATATCCCGGGGACCATTTAGAAGGCTTTGTTGCCAGGATTGTAGGTGTATCACATAATTTTCTCATGGACACGCTTTGAATTTGATGGTTTTAACGTGAAAAAATAAATTATTCCGGTTTTGTTTGTTCCCATTTAAACTGTTGTCATGCATCATAATATAACGCTGGTTTTGTTCAGTACTTCAATTTCATGAATTAGCAAAAAAATATATATTCTGTGCACGTTTCTGTCTTTTAAAGAGAACGTTTTATGGAATTAACTTTTTTTTAGTGAAAATGTAGATCTTAAATTGGTTAGAAATAGCTCATGTTTTAATTTTACACAAACTTGACTTTTGCTAAGTACCATTTTTCGCTCTAGTTTACTTTATAAAAATAAAAGACTATACCAGAATAATTTAAATTTGTTGCGAGATAATAAATAAATAAATAATGTTATGGTGTAATTTTAATATCATGTAATGTTGCTAATTTTAATCCATTTAAATAACAACAAGCGTTAGATCATCAAAGACTTTCTTTCTCAGTATTTTTTTTATGTTAAAAGGGTGGCAAACCAGCATATTACCCGCCTGATGGTAAGCGGTCACCATAACCAAACCCTAGCCTATATTATAGACGCTTGCGATACCAAAAATATCACTCGCTCCGTTGCCTACACTGGCCCAATCGCCTACCCCGTGGAGCACTGGAACCTATCTCACCTACAGAAACACAACACCACCTAAAGGTTATTTGACTATGTTGTCTTATATAAGATGGAGGTTACTTCCCCAGATGGGCACTACAATACGAGCGGGAAATTCGCTATGCCCTTCCTCTCTTAAGAGCCTTTTACATTTTTTGCAAAATATCG